AAACTCCTAGCTGAGTGTGAGGCTCACTCACGTTGCATTCCTCTGCATATTTTATACTGAACACTGCTTGAGAAAATGTAGAAACAGTTTGGTGCTCAAATTCGTTTCAGAAAATGACAGAGGAGTGCTCTGCTCACTCCCTCTGAAGGTCTTTGGGATTTTGGAGTTGCGGTTTTTTTGTTGTTTTTTTTTAAATAAAAGCAGGGCTTATTTGAGGACAAATTAAAAATAGCCTTGGAAGTTACTCTGGGATTTAATCTCCTGTGTGATGTCGCATCTTACATGATGAGAAGGAAATTCCTCCAGGCTCTAAATACTCAAAATAAACCTATTATCATTTAATCTCCAACGGGTTATTTTGAAATCCAAACAGAAGACATCTCTTGTGCACTTGCACAGCACAGATCACTCCGGATTTCCAAGCCCTAATGGAGTCTTAGAGAAACGTAAAAAAGGAAACCAACAGCCAGGAGCAGGCTGGTGAAGAGCAGTAGGCTAAGCTGCCACGACAGGCTGTGACGGTGTGGCAGCGTCAGCTGTGGCAAGGACCCTCCGGCTCAATGGGGACAACAGCTTGAGTTTCTGCCAGTCCCCTCCGTCCACAGAAACACACCTGCGGCAGAGTGGTGCCTTTCCCAGAGGATTCAAGGATCCCTGCGGTGCCCCATCTGCCCCAGGCGGGCAGGGGGCCGGGGCTAGGTCTGCACGGGCCATGTCCCCTCGGTCCCCTCGGCTGGCTGCTGGCATCCTCCGAGGAGCTAGTTCCCTTCTTCCCGCCGCCACTGCTGTGCCACCCGCTTCCCAGTACGGCCCGGGCGCTTGAGGTGAGGGCTTGAAGTTTCTCTTTACTAATTACTACACTGTAACTTAAAAGGAAGCTTTCTTTTCTCAGTCTGTAACAACGTTCTTTTTACTGAGCTGGAAACTCATAAATAATGCCTATGTCTTTCCTAGGAAACATTTACTTTCCTAAAAAAAAAAAAAAAAAGCAGTAGTCTAACAGTCATTTCCAAAAAAGGTTTGTATCATTTACCGGCATTTGGAACAGGCAGCCTCCCTGGTCCAAAAGGGTGTGCGTGTGATACCCAACACAAAGTCATGACAGAACAAGAGGTAAAAATTGCTGTCTTCTTCTTGCTTTCAATTCTTACACTCATCTAAAGCACGTTCTGCACCAAATATGAAAGACCTTTACTCATTCAGCCTACGCAACGCACCTATTTGAAATACATCAGCCTTTGACCGTTCTCATGAACGGCTTCCCCGTATCAACGAGTTCGGAAAACACAGATACGCTGTTACACATAGGCAGCTGCATAATGAAGGAAGAACACAACCAAAGGTGTGGAAATTTAACCAATCATCCTTTAATTCAACATAGTAAAAGTCTTCTTTACATATCTATGTCCACTGACACATTTAACACACCAAAGGGAAGAGGACTGCTGAAAAATCATGACTGCTCTCTCTCTCTCTCTTTCTCTCTTTCTACACAAAGCAAAGAAAAACACACATCCTGCCTTTGCATCCTGCCTGACATTGTCAATGTCCTGCCAGTGCTACGCACTGTTTCGGCAGTGAGCTTCCAGCAGCCCTGCACGCCTCATGTCCACAGGGTGCGGTACGCAGAGCTCTTCTGCAGGCCTAAAATTTTGCTGTATTTAACTGCCAAACATCTCCTTAGAAGATATAAAGAAACATAACAAATATCACAGTGTCATCACACTAAACAATAAAAAGTCCATTCACGCTTTACAAATACAGCTGTTGACAAAGTCTAGGAACGAACAAATCCTCATCCTAAGAGTTTCTCCCAGGCAAGTCAAAGGCCGTATCCAGATGAGCACGGACCGCTCCTTCAACTCACAGTCTGCAGAAACATGTCTCCTTAGCATTATTTGCTCCCCAAGGGAATCCTTAACTAATACAAATGAAAACTTCACCCGAGCTTCCTCTTGCAACGATGACTGCTTAGCATACACTGGCTCTATGCTTGGTAACGTACAAATCGCAGCATCCCTCCTGCTG